CCCTAGGGCTTGCATTCCATCCCTTTGATTATCTTCATCCCTCCCCTCTGGATCCTTTCCAGTTTCTCTACATCCTTTCTATACATTGGTGACCAGAACTGGACACAATCCTTCAGTTGAGCCCCAGCCAGAACCGAGTGGTCCTGTCACCTGTCCTGACTTGCATGCTCTGCCTCTGGTGATGGAACCTGAAATAGGGGCAATATGACATTTTTCTGTCTTAAGTATCCCTTTCTTAAGGATTCCCAACGTTCTGTTCACTTTTTTGATGATCTTTGCACATTGAATGAATGTTTTCACAGAACTATTACTGAGTGGTAACAGCTCAATTTATATGTATAGTTGGAAGTATGTTTCCCAATGTGCATTACTTTGCATTTATTAACATTGAATTTCATCTCAAATTATGTTACCCCGTCACCCAGTTTTGTAAGATCCCTTTGTAGCTCGTCACAGTCAGCTTTGAATTTAATTATCTTGAGTAGTTTTGTATCATCTGCAAATTTTTCCACCTCACTGTTACCCCTTTTTCCAGATCATTTATGAACATGTTGAACAGCACTGGTCCCAATACGGAACGCTGGTGGACACCACTATTTACCTCTCTCCACTGTGAAAATTAGCAATTTATTCCTATCCTTTGTTTGCTATCTTTTAACCAGTTACTGATTCAGGAGAGGACCTTCCCACTTATCCCATGACAGCTTACTTTGCTTAAAATCCTCTTGGGAGGACCCTTGTCAAAGGCTGTCTAAAAATCTAAGTACATGGACTGGGTCACCCTTGTCCATATGCTGTTGACTCCCTCAAAAAATGCTACTAGTTTAGTGAGCCATGATTTCCCTTTACAAAAACCATATTGAGTCTTCCCCAACAAATCTATGCATCTGATAATTCTGTTCTTTACTATAGTTTCACTTTATTGGCCTTCAACTGCCGGGAACACCTCTGGAGCCTTTTTCAAAAATTGGTGTCACATTAGCCATCCTCCAGTCATCTGTTACAAAAGCTGATTTGAATGATAGTTAGTAGTTCTGCAATTTCACATTTGAGTTCCATCAGAAGTCTTCTCCAGCTTACTTCTGAGAATGTCATATGGGACTATGTCAAAAGCCTTGCTGAAGTCCAGTTATATTATGTCCACCACTTTCCGACAGCCCCCAACTAGTTACCTCGTGAAAGAAGGAAACCAAGCTGGTTTGGCAAGGTTTGTTCTTGGTAAATCCAGGCTGGTGATCACCCTTTTGTCCTCACAAATTGAAGGTTTTATACATTTCTCTAGTTGGTTTCCGTTTGTCGAGGTCAGGCTGACTGGTCTGTAGTTCTCCGGCTCCTCCTTTTCCCCCTTTTAAAGATGGCCACTCTGTTAGCCATTCTCAAATCTTCTGAGACCTCTCCTGGCATCCATGAGTTTGCAAATATTATTTCCAGTGGCTCCAATATTTCTTCGACTAATTCCTTCAGCACCCTGGGTTGAACAGCTTCCAGCCCCACTGATCTGAATTCATTCAGATTGGTTGGAACATCTCTGACGTGTTCTTCACTTATCCCAACCTGCAGCCCATCCCCTTTGTTCTCCGTGGTAACTTCACTAGTTGTCTGCTCACATGTTGTTTTTTTGTGGGAAGACTGAAGCAAAGCAGACATGGAGCAGCGCTGCCTTCCCACCATCTTCTATCACCAGATCAGGATTTTCTGGCCGATCTCATGTTTCTTAGAGAAAATCTCAGGTTTTTTCACCAATTTAAGGATTTTTTTAGCCCACGATCTCTCAGAACTGTCTGGTGATTTGGGGTTTTCTGTATGAGGGGGAGGTCATTGTGCTGCCAGCAGCCCCAGATCAGCCCCCTGCAGAGCCCAGCAGTACTGACGGTCCCCCAGGCACATCTGCACCCCCAAAAAGCTTCTGCTCTCACACTTCTCACCCACAATCTGTCTCTAGGTCTGTCCCAGCCGGACGCCCCAGCCATGGGCAGAGCCCTGCTGCCACAGCAGGATGCCGGGGAAAGGGAGCTCCCGCCTCAGGGCCCCCCCTGGAGAGCAGGGGGTCCTGCCATGCTGAGGGTCCTGATCCTCGCCCTGCTCTGGAGGGGTAAGTAAGCAGCATCTGCGGCCCCAGTGCAGGGGGAAGGTCAGATCCTGCGCTAAGCGGGGTCAGGTCTGTCCCAGAATTTGAAAGGGAGACTGGCCAGAGGGGGAGGGGAGCCAGTGTCCCAGTGTGGTGCTAGGGGGACACTGAGTGACAGGGAGCAGGCAGGGGGCTCGATGGAGGGAGGGATGGAAACTAAATGGAGTGAGAATTGGTCAAGGACCCAGGGCTGGGATCACATGGGAATGTCAGTCGGGAGTGAGGGACACTGACAGACCTCGAGGGGGGGTTGAGCTCGGGGCTGGGCTCACAGGGGGCTGCAGGTCGGGAGTGAGGGAATCGGCAGACCTGGGGGGTGCAGCTCAGGGTTGGTCTCTGCTCTCTATGGGTCCCACTTCCATCTCTCCCCGTCCCCTGCAGAGTCCCTGTCCCAGCCACCTGGATTTACCCTGGCGGTGCCGCAGTCGGTGTCCGTGCAGGAGGGTCTCTGCGTTCTCGTCCCCTGCAACTTCACGTACCCAGCCTCGCTCGACTCCGACAATCCCTCGGCCCAGCTATACGGACAATGGTTCAAGGAGCCTGCTACTGTGGGCCAGGATCCTCCCGTGGCCAGCAATATCCCCAGCGCGTGGGTGTCGCAGACCCAGGGCCGGTTCCGGCTGACGGGGGATCCAGCGCACGGCGACTGCTCCCTGCAAATCAGTGATGCCCGACGGACGGATGCGGGGAGATATTTTCTTCACATCGAGAAAGGCATGTTTGAACACACTTACCGCTCCAATTCCGATGGCACAGACCCTGCGCTCACGATCTCTGTGACAGGTAAGAGCAGCCGCATTCACTGCTTGTGAGGGTCCCCCCCCACTCTGAACTCTGGGGTACAGATGTGGGGACCCTCATGAAAGACCCTTAAGCTTATATTCCACCAG